GTATATGCAGAATAGGAAAGAATAATTAAGACAAATTACATTTTACACCTGATATTTTTTTCTTGTCTGTTTACTTTGACTTCCCTTGATAATTATAAATGCATAAGAAATGGGGGAAATGGGGGAAGTCTGTGTTAATTCGAAATGTATATGGAAATATGTTAGTTAAAAATTAAGAGAGGTTTGTTTAAGGTGAAAAAAATGGAGTTATTGAGTGCAACTATATTAAACCTTGGGGTGTGAATGTAATTTTTCTAAAATAATTATTACAATAGAACACAAAAAAAAGCAAGAAAATCGTAAGTGATAGGAATAGTGGTCCAGCCAAGAACCCCCAGATAAACTTGGGATGCATTTTGACATTATTCAAGCATTCAATTGGAAGTTTTGATTGTCAAAACAAGTAGGATAAGAGGACATGTTTCTAGGTGACATTGTCAGATCTATTGGAGACCTAACAATACAATTACTACTGTTCATCCATTTTTAATATTTTAACCCAGATCTTACGTGCTCCATTATTAAAAATAATTCTCTAGATTCAATGATCATGAGTTTTCTCCCATTCTATTTAAAAAGAAGTGGGACTTGAATTTTTGTGAGACACGTAATTTATTTCAGTTTCTTTTTACTGCACTGCTTTGGATTTGCTCTTGACCAACATAAGCACGAGAATGAGATAGTGGTAGGCATATAGAAGTAATGACCCCAAGGCACTAGCTTCACGTTGACAGTGTGGTGGTTAAAAGGAATATTAACTCTTGGGAGCAACAGAATAATATGGTAGGGACGAGTGAAGTGTGAACTTTGTCATAGAAAATTATTAAAAGGAGAAAGTGGAAGAGAAGCAACGCTTGGCAAGAATGAGAAAGTTGGAGGAGGGGCTTTGGGAAGGGTGGAGTATTCTATGCATCTGCAAAATTTCTTTTACTTCCTTGTGTTTTCTTTTGTAATTTCAATCTCAACAGAGTTCTATCTAACTCTGCATGCGAGGAGCTTGTTTTCCATTTTTGTATTCTAGCTCCATGTATCTGTTAGATACTTGGTTTGCATGCTTGGTATCTACGTATAATTGGTTATAATTTACTTTAAAAGTTTCTTATGATGACACATGTTTACTTTATTAATGTGCAGCTTCCTATTCTTTGGAAATACAACAAAATGAGCTTGCTTAATCTTGTGGCAAGCCTGGTTAAGGTATGCTGTTTCTGTTCATATGCTTTACACCTAAAGAATTAATGTGAAATTATCCTGTCTTTTGCTTCAGAATTTTTCTAGAAGCCCTTCAATGGTTCTTGTTAATAGTCAAGAGAGAGGATGTAGGAAACAACAAGCGGAGTGAATGTATAATTGTATACAAGTGATCTCTGACATTATGTATAAGTTTTAATTTATAAAGAGAATGAGGCTCTTTACCGTCATTTATAAAAGTGTGTAGTCTGAGAACACATGCTAATCACATTACATACAATATACTATAATGGCTACTAGTTCAATAGCTCCTAGTGATAAAATCATATTTTGTTTTTTACTATTGAAATTACTTCCCCTATATATGGTCACTTTTGTGCACAAGGAGAATGCTGATAGAGACCGTTTGACATAAAATATGACAATAAGGAGATGTAAGTTCTTAATTCCATGTTTTCCCAAATGGAACTGGATTTCTCCCATCATTTCAGTTACAGTTAACACTGAAAATCCGCATCAAATGCAAGCATTACACGTAAAAGAAATTACTCTTACCCTTCTTCAGATCCCATTCTAATAGAAAGTAGATCGAAAACGTATTTAAGCAGTGTGAATGTATCCTGAGCAAAGAACATAAACTTCCAAGAATTCTCAGGCATGTCATAACCAAGCAACTATGAATCTACTGTATCATGTATCCTCTATACTATTTATACTAATTTACCAACTAAGGTTGTTAAGCCTCTTTTTTTTTTTTTTTGGTGGTCATCTACTCAGAATATTTTCGAAGGGCAATGTGCACAAGGAAAATGAAAGTTTAAAAAGGAGCTTCAGCACACTGAACTTCTTTCTATCAGTTACTACCATGTGTACATTATCCAGACAGATTCGTTTCCTTTGATTTCTAATGTATACTGTTCTTCCCTTCGAATTTTACAAACATTGAAGGAAACCTGAAAGATTCAGTTTCAAAATGCTTGAAATAAGATGTGCAATAATATTTTCACAGTTGCATATTTTGTTTTGTTGGGCTCAGTTGTATTATCCTTTCCACTAGATATATTTTCTTTTATTAAAAGATAACCTTTTAAGTTATGTTAAAAATATGCATAGATCGGTTAGCAGATTCTTATATTTGCATATGTCTAAAGTGTTGCTCCAGCTGCTTCGAATTTAGGTCGATTCACCATTTTGTTTTGTACTCTCTAGACAGGAGTGCATGGAAGAATATACTCTTCAGCCGATGGAAAGCCATTACCAGGCTCTATAACTGTCAGTGGAATAAATTATACAGTATGTGAGACTATGCTCTTTTTTTCATTTTTCCTTTTAAATTTGTCTCTATCCCCCTCCTCTCTGTAGGTCTTTTCCACGCAGGAAGAATATATCTGCACATTTTTTGTTCAATTAGATAACAATGCGAAATTTTTTTATACTGATCTGTAGTTGTACTGCATATTATTTGACCGATTAATTTATTGCATAAAAATGATATTTTAAGTTTAAACTTCGTGTTTTAATTGATAGCCTATTGGCTGTTTTGTTTTTGGTACAATTCTTGATATTTCCCAAATGCATTTTTGATTCACTCTTCACTTTGATGGTTTAATTTGTATATCTGTTAATTATCTGAACTAGCAGGTTACAGCCGGAAAAACTTTAGGTGACTATCATCGCTTTCTTGCCCCAAGAGATAAATACGAAGGTATTATTATATTTAATTCAAATTATTTTTCCAGTATAGATTGAAGCCTACCCTGAAGACGTTCTCAAATAATTAAATAAAAAAAATGCAATTCTCAGGATTTGGTAAATCCAGGTGGGATCTCAAGTCGTCCTAAGACAAGTAAATTATTACATAAAAAATAAAAGACCTAGGACATTTAGTTCCCTATTATTTCAACAAATTGATTTCATGTGGAACTTTGGACTCTAAATTGAACACAAAGGGAATTCAGGTTGTACTGTGCATTATTGAAAAATTCCTGGATGGAATATAGATGTCATCCCAATCCAGATGATAATATCATCTTTTTTTCAGCCTTACTCTAGTTTCAGTTTCTTTATTATTTCTAATCAATTTCTCAATATAAATTGCAGTGGTGGCTACCATGATTGGCTACAAATCAAAGAATACAACTATTTGGTTGGATGATGGACCTGTGACGTTGGATTTTGTTCTTGATCCTGAAGTCAGTATCAAAGAAAGTGTACTGCAGAATGTCTATGACTGTGACTGTAACAGTAAAAGCACACAAGAATTTGTTCAGTTTCTATGGGGGGCTCACTTGGAAGTTTTCTTTATTTTGATTGTCATTTTAGGATTCTTGCTTTTTTTATTTCGGAGGAGAGCAAAAATCAAAGTTCCAACAAGCAGACAGTTATCGGGGTCAAAAAAAACTGTCGAGGTTTAAAGTTATTGAAATGTTGTTTGTATTAAAGATTTGTTGTACATTAAGGTTCGATTCCTTCAGATGGCTAAATGGTGCTGTTTGAAGACAGTAGGACAATATTCATATGAATATTTCTGAAGATGGATAATGTTCGTTCATGCTTATTCAATGTTTCAATTGTTGGTACACTTCAGTTCGTGAAAGGAAGAAAACGGAAATTAAAAGAGCGTTGCTCAAAATATTCAATTGTACTGACCAATGTATTAACTGGTAGGTAATTAATGGTTACGGTCCAACAGACTCAGACATATAGCCATGATGTTTGGATAAATTATAAATGCACCTTTTGAGCCTAGGTGAATCACATAAGCTTGACTTTCTACTTGGACACTTCAAATTCATGATTTTTTTTTCATTAATGACATTTTAATTTCACTGTGTTATATTTACTTATATAGCACATTTTTTAACAGGTTCAGAATTCGATTTTTAAGAAACTAAGATTTTAATATTTTTTGAAATGTTTTTATAAAAATTAAATTCGAAACTTGTTTGCTAAGAAAATGAATTTTATGAATAGTTTGGAGTTTTAACTTATAGGAATTTATTTTTACTTTTTACTTTCAAACTTTTTTCACTTGTTCTCTTTTCTCTTCTCTCTTTGACCTAGAGCTGCCCCCTCTCTTTTTTATTCTTTTTCTATTAGTTATTCTTCTCCTCTCTTCTTGTGGCACTCTGACGAACAATTTCTTTTTTTTAATTATTGAAAATCATTAAGCAATTGAATAAGTTTGGAAAATTGTTAATGATTTTCTGTCGTGAACAATTTTTTTTAAATTTAAAATAAATATTTCAAATAAAATTAATATAAATTTATTGTAATTAGAAGAAATATTTATAAAATCTTTTTAATTAGAAAAAATATTTATAGAATCTTTCTAACTAGATAAAATATTTGTAGATCTAATAATTTATTTTGCAAAATATATTTGAAAAAAATTGTTTATAAGAGGAAACCATTGGATCTTCAACAATTTTCCAAACCTATTCAACATGGTTTTCAATAATTAAAAAAAAAATAAAATTTGTTCATCGGGTTTCCAAAACCATTGAAACCTTCTAGGGTTATTCAACGACTCAGATTTTCATAATAAGATCTTTGAAACATTTTTTGGAATAAAAATTTCGAAATACAAGTTTTGAAACGCATCAAATACATTTTGGAATTCGTTTCCTGGAATGAGATTTCTAGAACTAACTTTCTTGGACAAATATTTTCTGGAATAAGTTTCGCATAAGAAATATGTTCAAGAAAGAGCTTTCCGGAACCATTCTTTTTTTCACATCTCTCTTCTTCCTCTGCAACTGTCAGTGGTGAAAGATATTTAGTTAGTAATTGTGGGGTGAAAGAAGCAATAGCCTTTCAATTTTACATTCTCTACGCAGAGGTTGTACAGGTTGAAAACTCATGTTTACACTTTATTTTCTCTTTCCATATCTCTGCACTCTATTGTCTCGTATTTTGAATAAAACGAAAGAGAATAATTTTTCAGCGCTGCAAAAAACAAAATAAAAGAAGATGAAATAAATAAACAGATCTACATCTGTTCCAATCTCTGCTTTGTTAGCCTATTAGAGAAAGCTCCAGGAAGATTTTAGTCAGGCTTTATGACAAAGCCCAAATTTCAATTTAGGTTTCAATTTCCAGGTCCAGAAGGGCTTGTCTTGAGCTCATCCTTTCAGGCCCGGCACCAATATAGGAATGAAGCTGAAGAAAAACCAGAAGAAACTCACTTCCGAATCTCAGCTTTGGTTTGCCGATTCCGAGCAAGTATTTGCTTTGTCTTCTCAAGAACACAAAAAAATATTGAACCGCCAACTCCTATCCACAAAACTCTAGGCCCAATACCCTGAAGGACAGTGCAAATGTACAAAGTTAATCGTATTAATCTTTTGAATTGAAGAAAAGTAAGAACAATGAATATACCTTAAAAAGAGCATGAGTTCCTTCTTCTTTAACTATTGTCCTCACACAATCACTGATGCCTTTGTAATGATTTTGTGATCCCTGAAGTTAGTCACAAATACTTCAAATAAAGCATCTTCTAAGAGTCAAATCAACATAGCAAAACGTTAACAACAAAAAAAAACATCTTCACTTGGGAGCCATCCCAAAGATTTCCTTCAAATAATGAAAAGAAAAAAAAAATTGTGTTTACCTGAACCATCAATCTGGTCTTTACTACATCAAGAGGAGTTGTGACTGCTCCAGTTATGGCACCTGTCAGGTATCAAATTCACCATTCTCAGTTCAAATCAAACAACTCAAGTTCAGCAGAACAGAGGTTTTAATAGATATTTGGTACCAGCCACTGCCCCAAGCATAGCATTCTCTGGATCATTAGGATCTCTTTTTGCCTGTAAAGAAACAAAAATTCAGAAACAAACTACCCACCCTTTTGTTGTAACCTCATTCAAGCAAAGAAAAAGAGCTTTGGTTGTAATACATGTTATAGTATTAATATATATGCTTGAAATTAGAAAGCTAACTAAATGCACATAAAATCCTTATTCCTGAGCTAATTACAATAATATCTAACAAATTGATGCCATAAATTCGATAAATACTTTAATAATCATCAGAAAGTTTCCAATAAGCACAACCTTACTAATTTTATGCACTACTTTTCTTCAACTCTGACACAAAATCAGATATACAATTTTACATGAAACAGGAGCTTCATTTTTTAGTAGATGGTTTAAAATCAAAAACAACTTTTATAAAAATCAATTGACAGTTCAAATAGCAAGCTTACCGCTAATTTATACCCAATACGGAGCTGCTCATAAATGCATAATTCTATGGCATCAAATGGTAAATCTCGCAATAAGAAAGAACCATATCCCTACAATATCATATAAACAAAAAATAGATATCAAGGGAGGCAAAAAATAAAAAAAGAAAAGTTCACACACATATATATAATATTAAAATAGCATGTAAAATGGGAAAGCTAAAAAAATAATGTAAAAAGGCATTATGGTTCTGATCACTCGGAACAACGTATCTCTTCTCACTTACATATATTGCCTTCCAGAGATGGTGATTCCAAAGATGTGAAATTTAGTCATACATACCGCATAAAGACCTTTAAAACCCTCATTTGAGACAATGAGACGAACAGCATCTGGAGCTGATCTAAATTGCCCAATTTGCATCCTTTGCTTAACAACCTAGAAAGACATGGACATATTCCAAGTTCAAGAAAGCAGAAAATGCTTGGCAGTAAACGAAGTAAAGCTAATTACCTCTGTTGGAACCCGAACAATAGAAGAAGCAATGCCTCCAATAGCACCTGCAGCCTGCAATCAGCTTCAGAATATCAAAATAGCAAAAATTGAAAAGAAATGTCAGCCCAACTTCAAGGCCAGGGCACCAGGCTAAGTGCCTTGTGTGCTAATCATACAAGCTTGACGTTCGGATGATTAACATGACTCACCAAAAAGTTTGGTTAACTAATCATTAATAAGTTTTATAACTTCTATTTGTTTGTTTCTGTTTATATGCATTCTATTTTTTTTTTCTATGGCACCAAAAATAATGCAAATTTATGCTCGAGAAATAATAAAAATTGACGGCAATTTAAAGCTCAAACATGCATAAAGTGCACATCAAACTAGAAAATCCCCTTTCAAGCCAAGCATAAGCCTAGGTACAAAATCTATATCACTGTTCATCTTCAGCCTGTGCTACTCCAGCTATGACATAGTTTGGATAAATTTCTCAGTAAGCATTTGCAAATGAATAAATGGGGAGGTAAATATAAATTAAAATCAAGTTATACACTTCGGCTTTTGAATAAGTTAGATGAAACTTGAGAGAACTTCTAAAGAAGCAGAGGTACATAAATTGATTTTAACCAATGAGAAAAACTTGATGCATTTTACCTCTTTATTTTATTCCCTTATAAGTGCTTGTTGAGGAGCTCATCTAAACCGGACCTCATGCAGACTGAGGCTAACTGGCAAAATATTATAAATCTGCTATCTTATTGGATTGGTTAATAAATTTTTTTGGAGAAATTTCTTGTAAATTTGGAGAACAAACAAAATTACTAAACATCAGATATCATGATAGGTCTAAAAGATTTAAAATTGGACGAGATTGACTTTGGGGAATCATCACATTTTTACTTTGCAATGGCTTCCCCCATATCGTTTACAGAGGTTGAAAAGTATCTTCAATATGCATATAAAATAATAGAACATGTTTGTAAATATGATTTGGTGGTACCCTTTCACATCAATATCTACATCAAAGAATTGGGTTCTCATGTTTTTGGTTATCTACTCATCTTGCTGTCACTCCTGTTTTGTGTATCCTAGGATTTAACTTGCTAAGAAATGCTATGAAACCAGAAAATTGGCATACAGTCATAAAAATTAACATCAGAATTCTAAAATTGTATGCAGGCGAAGAGCATAATCACATACATATCTAAGGTGGAAGTTGGTGGCACATGGCAAATAAAGTCACTGCATAGTTAATTTGAAGAGATTGTTTCTTTTAGAAAAGATAGCCAACTTACAAAATGAGCCACAGCACTGAGATTCTCAGGCAATGACTGTAGCAATTGCTGCTTTGTGGGTTCATACACTCCAATAAAAATTGCAGACGCTCTGCAAGGAGGAAGAATGGTCTATCAGGCATACATGCTGATAATCAATTAAGAACCAATGTTTTTAACAAAATAAAAGAATGTTAAGGTCAATGTATCCTGGAAAAACTATCTTGTTGCAGTAGATAGATTAAAAGTATTATTATCTTCCTCATTGAGATATAGAAGAGTGAAAGCAAGAAATGCTCAAAAAATAGATCCCTCTAACTATTGCCACTGATAATAAAAGGTAATTATGCTTTCTAATGCTTTGCTTATACTGTTATTATAAGTTAGAACAACATTAATGTTAACTTGTGTCCTAAATCATACTAGTAATGAGCTCCAGGTTCCAGAAAAGCTGAAATAGTTCTGAGTACAGAAATAGCGGGTAGTGTCTATGCTATTGCATATTTACTCAGCTTAAAATCAGAATGCAATCCATCTTTTTCCCCAATACAAATATACAAACCACCTTCAAGAAAATAAAGAAAAAAATTCTTTATTCAGAACAAGTAGTTACAGAATATTTCAAGAAATTAATATAGAATAAAAACAGAATCCTATAGTCAATTCCTAATAGGTAAAACTAGAAATAGAAATTTTACACGCTTAAATTTATGGCACATAAGCAAAAGCATCTAACAAGCTCGAATCTAAATAAGTTTGCTGTGGAAAAGAATAAAGTGAAAAACAAAAACTCAAGATAACGACAAAAAAGTAACTGCCTTAAGAAATTATGTAAATATGAAAAAAAAAATGTTCACTCACGGCAAGACACCAACAAGATTTCCAGACAACCCAGAGTACAGACCCTTCAGAACAATCTTTCCTCCATCACGAGCTACCTGATATAGGAATGAATGAGTTATAAAATCAAAATTGCTGCAAGTGTGTTTGTTCTACAATTTTGACGCTGAAACTATAGAAAGATAAAATGGCCAAGTTTTGTCACACAAAAGGAAGAATTCCATGCATTGGACAAAGTCGATTTATGTTTAGTGGCTTATACGACAAACTCATTCTAAGAAGAAATGGTGAAGGGAAAATGAAAAAATACAACAGAACTAGTATTGTTGTTAGAATTTATGTAATATCTTATCATATATTAGATTATCCTCGAAAGTTAGTTCCTTTATTCCCTTGTTAAGATTGGCTACTATATTTTCTTATCCCATCATGATTAGTTTCCCCAATGAGATAGGATACGATTAGAATAAAATTTATACATAAGGATTAGTACTCTTGGTTTTATGAACATATAAACATCATCATACTGAACTAATATCAATTCATTTTCTCGTTCTCTTTTTTCTATCTTCCTCATTCTATGCTGAAAACACCATAATTTCAACCATTCTATTATTTCTTCCCTATGAGGATTAAAATATCACAAGTTGAGCAATCTCATCACAGTGCTCCATTAGCATCAGAGTTCACATCAAACAAGGTACAATGGATGTTGAACAAAGTCAATATCCCACGCAAATATACAATTTGAATATCACATATTAAGTGACAATTATTACATTTACAAATTCATACTTTGACATGAACTAACATTTAGAATCCACAATAAAATGGAAAAAGAATTCAGTAATTGGATAACTGCATTTTCATTAACTACAATACATGCTTCCTCCTATGTAAATGAACTGGGTTATTTTTGTTTCCTTCCTAGTTCCTTCCTTCCCTTCAACCGTCACCCAACAGATGATAACAAAGAAAAACTAGATTTAAAGGTCTAGAATATATACACATAATTCACCTGTAGTCGAGTTTTTATGGTATCAATGGGGTATAAAGCTGTCTCTACCATGACACCCGCAACACCTCCAGCAATGCAACCATCTACAATTAGATCAATATTTGTAAATATGTCATACAACAAAATACTAATAACAAAAGACAATTAGAGATGCATGATTAGATGCAACTAATGACTTGAGTTCCAATGCCAGACCCTGCATCACGAACCATAACTATGCGTAGAAATAGAAACATCGTCAACTAATTTTTAACAGCAATTACAATTTCAATGCTTTGAAATTTTTAACACCATAAATGTCACTGGTCTCATTATGTGCTCGAAATGTAACATAGACACGCGATATAGGCATAATGCAATGACACCGTTGACGAACATGTATCTAACACCGTTTAAACAACAAGGGATTGCAGTTCTTTTATCCATGTATCTAACAATCTTCAACTGGGATGGAAAAACTTACCATATAGAACACGTAAAAAGTCAAATGGCTTTTTCTCTCCTTCAGTGATTGACATGAAGAACTTATCTGTGTCCTTTTGAACAGACATTTTAGACTTCAATGCATCTGTACAGACAAGTCACTTGTTCAAGATAAGTAATGCAAAGCACAAGCAAAAACCTCTGGCAACAGATTGACACAGCAATTTCAAGGTATTACTTTTAAAATATTAACTTAAAAATAATAGTCTTCCTTGAGTCTGAGACTCTGGAAAAAAAGGACCAGCATGAAGAACCTTTAGGCTAACAATGGAGTCAGAATGAAAGTCAAGGTCACAAAAACAAATTGAAATTTGAGGAAAACCCACGTCGAATGCGACAGAGTAATGGCTACTATGATTCTCAGTTACGAAATGGGAAAGAGTGGAATACCAATTGAATCTGGGGAGGGAACTTTCGAGCTCATGGGCAGTGTGCAAAGATCAAAGCTTTATCAAATAAATTTTTTTTTTCCGACAATTCAACCAAGTTTGCTGTACTCGCTTACGGCGGGTGGAGAAGCCAAATCCTGCAACAGATGGGTTTTAGATGGTTTATTTATTTATCTAATAATAAGGTTAAAATTAGGTTGATTGTTTTAAAAAATTAAGAAAAATACTATTAATAAAATAATCAATTGTCAATACTTTTACGATTTCTTTTTATCAAATATTTCCCAAAATAATTATCCAAAAAACTTATTAAATAATTATATAACTAGACCTATCCACCGGTCAGAACTTTTAAGAGAATCCATTTCTGTGACCTAAAATGACTTTCAGACAATTTAAAATAAGTTGGAATTTGATTCTTCAAAATTTGAATTTTGATTTTGTTAAAATAAATAATAGTGATGGTAACGATGATCACAATGCATCCCAGTGGCAGTAAAATTGCACTGCGATTTGAATATAAGAAAATGTCTTTATTATTTTCTCTACTTTGGTTGAGTATGAATATGTGTAAGCATAGATGCATGAGATATATTGGACCTAAAAGAAAAACATGGCAGAAAAAATCAGTAAAGAATTTGGTATTTTATTTGAGTAATTTCTTTTGCAATTAGGTTTATTTGGGAAAATTTTCAACTTAGGTTTAATACCTTATTTTGTTTCTAGTTTGGCTGAATTTTATCAATTAAGTCCTTCATTTTAAAAGTGTGTCAAATTGATCCTTACTTACTAAATTTTGCACAAACGTCGTCCCTTCTTTTAAATACGTACAAACGGCGTTAATTTTTTTTTTCTCTTCTCTATTCTTCTGTAACACAGCATACCTTTCTTTTTTATTTTGTCAGTGCTATCTTTTCATATTTTTGCAAATCCCAAAACCTTTTCATTGCACCATTACCACTTACCACCGCACTTCTCAATTTTATTTCTTCCACTCTTCAAAACTTCTCATATCTTATTCCTCAATTGGAAATTTTATACCGGTTAAAAATAAAATTATTTGATATCGCAAATTTTATTTTATAACTCATTTATATAATATTGAGTTAAGTTTAAATATCTTTTAACATAGTATTACACAAATATTTATCATAATGAAATTAATGATATTAAAGTTTATTGTAATGAAATTGGTTATTAACTAAATTTATTTTTACTTGTTATTTGGGATCACCAGCTATGATATTAAACATTCTTTTTCATATTAAATATTTGACAATTTTATGTTCATTTTGTAGGATCTTTTATATAAAAATTGCTTACAAAGTTTTATAAATTTTTTATGTTATCAAATTGTTTAAAAATAATTATAAACTTTTTTCTGAATTCTTGTATTTTTTTAATCAAACACCTTCACTCTCACTTTTCTTTCTGTAATTTTTCTCTCATTTTGAGTCTTCCAAATTCATCTCTATTAATTTTATAAAATAATATAAAATTTCTTCGTATATCAACAATAATATTTACATATAGAAACAAAACAAATATATAATTAATTTAATTAAAAACGAAATATAGTTTTCATAAATAATATAAATATGAAAAATATATTCTTAACTAAAAATGTAATCATACTACATAATCTATATCGATATTATAATTATAATTTGTTATCTTTTTCTACCTTTTAGTTCCTTTGTTATATACTAAAACTAATTGATCAAAGCTAAAAGATTTTTTTTTTTAACTATACTATGCTAAATTCATTTTGTTTTTTTATTTAGTTATATTATCTCAAATTAAACCGACATACACCTATTATTTCGTTAAGATAAATCATTTTGATTTTAGTTATACTTTTTCATATTTCTTAAAATTTATAATAATATATTTTTATTTAATAACTAAGTGAAATATTGAAAGAACAAACCCAAGTATAATATTTAAAAGTTTTTAATTTTAGTTGAACAATTTTAATAGGCTTAATTACCTACTTAGTCCCCATGTTCAGAGGTAATTTGCTGTTTAGTACCCGGTTTTAAAAATGTAGACATTAAGTCTCAAAATTGTCAAAATTGTATGAATTGAGTCCCTTCCGTTAAATGGCACAAACGGAGTTAACTCCCTAGCTGACGTGGCGGAGGAATCTTCATTGTTTTTCTTCTCTCATCTGATTTTCCTGAAATGCCCCAGTTTTTTCTCTCTTTCCTATATTTTTATTAAATATTTATTTTTTTCTCTCTCTTTCCTCCGCAACCTCTACCTCCAAACAACCACTTCTCTGATGANAAAAAAAAGGAAACAAATTGAAATAAGTATTTAAATTAAAAAAAAATCAACTTAAAATTAAATGTCTATAATAAGAGTATATATTTTCATTTTAACACATCCAACATGTAAATATTGTTTTGGATTTGAAGTTTGAATAACGAAAAATATAACATCTTACCTTTTTTGTCGCTATGATAACTTTAGTTTAACAGAGGATGGAGATGCAACTACTTTGCTAATGAGGTTTTTATACCTTTTTAATAAATGATTAGTTCTTATTAAAGCTTAAACTATTATACTAATACTTGAAATATTATTTATTTAATGAAACAATTTTAGAGAAATCACTTTCCCCGTTTATATAGAGTGGAAGGCGAGAATGAAATTATGTTATGGATAGTTTCATAGTTTATTGTGATGTACTTATCAAAATATACTATTTCTTATTTTTACTTGCATCACCACCAAATCCAATTAAAAAAATAAGATGATTCAAGAACATTATCTATCATAAAAAATATTTTTCAAATTTGTCAATTATATGACAATTTATTCACGGATTTGTCATTTTCTCGATTAATTTAGTTTACACTCTAAATTATATATTTGTAAAATATGAAGATTAGATTAACATAAGATACTTTTGAGGATGGAATTATAAAGTTAGAAGCATAATAATGGCCTTTGATAAGTTCTAGGTTATTTTGGAACCATCTCTTAAAGTGTTCTAATAATGATGTAATGTTTATAATAACACAACCATTGACTACACCATTTTTTTTAGTTCAAAAATTATTCTTTTTGTCTTTCCTTTTTTTGTGAGTTTGTGGTTGCACAAAAGATCAAGATGACAAATAATTCTTGTTATATTGTCTATTTTTTGAATTTTCTTGTTGAAAACAAAGATTAATATATTAGAGCAACAAAAAATAATGGATAAGTTATAAGGTGGGACAATAAAGATATGATTGCATTATTAATTAGGGTTATGTTGATGGTATCATTGCGTGAGTTTCTATATTGATTTCAACACCAACCAAAACCAGGCACTACTTAGAATTTTCTTCAATTTATTTTACTCTTTCACAAGTTTGAACACATTAACAATGGAACATCTTGGGATGGTCGAAACAATGTTTGAAACTTGAACTTCCATTTGGAGACCTAAACACTTGGATTTTGTCACATTTAATGATCGATACCGTGTTGAACACTTGCATGTTATTTATTTCTGAATAATAAAATAGAAGTGTTAAAAAATGTTTTTAAATTTATAAATTAAATTATATTAAAAAATAACATATTAACAAAATAAATAACAACAATTTCAATCAAATTAAATTTAAACATATACAATAAATAAATTTTAATAAAAATATATTAAATAACATTAAAAAATTAAATTATTTAAGTAATAAAAAATAACAAATACACAAATTTTGAAGCATGTTCGAAACCAAGAGTGACAACGGAGGACGAAAATGGAAGGAGAAGCGCACGGTGGTTGAACTCTAGTCTATACTTTTGTAGCTACTTCCAAAATTACAAAAATACCACTATATTTCTATAGGCTATGTATTTTTTTTTAAATTATAATATATTATGTGTAATTAAATACAATTTTTACACTAACAACTTTATTGGCTATGCATTTTGTATCAAACTTCTCCACCAAAGGAATTTCTTTTCTTCTCATATTTTATCCTCAGATTAATTTCATCTTCTTTTTCTATAATGTTCATTCTTTATTCATCCTCCTTTTGTACTTATTTATTTATAGGCTTAATTACCTACTTAGTCCCCATGTTCAGAGGTAATTTGCTGTTTAGTACCCGGTTTTAAAAATGTAGACATTAAGTCTCAAAATTGTCAAAATTGTATGAATTGAGTCCCTTCCGTTAAATGGCACAAACGGAGTTAACTCCCTAGCTGACGTGGCGGAGGAATCTTCATTGTTTTTCTTCTCTCATCTGATTTTCCTGAAATGCCCCAGTTTTTTCTCTCTTTCCTATATTTTTATTAAATATTTATTTTTTTTCTCTCTCTTTCCTCCGCAACCTCTACCTCCAAACAACCACTTCTCTGATGAGTTCCTTCGCTTGTCTCACTTGCCCTTGTTCGTCTCACTCACTTGGATTATCCTCCAACAACTTCTCCGGTCAAATTCTTTTCTTCGTCAACAACTTAACCCACCTCACTGGCCTCTTCTTGGAACACAACGCCAGCAGGAAACGTAGATCTCTGTGGCTCACCGTTGAAGGCTTGAAACCCCTTCTTCCCGCTCTGGCGCCGTCTCCCTCCTCCAATTCGACCCCGGCCACGACGGTGGGGCAGGTGTGTTCGGAAACGTGAAATCCGAGGTTGATGTTTGAGGGTCTGGTTTCGGAGTGTGGTGATCTTATTTGGGGTTTGGACTCAATTTTGAAACGAGAGAATTGGTGTTCCGTGGAAGTAGTTGGGCAGTCGAAAAAGTCAGAGAAAAAATGGTCCATTATTGCAGATGAGTGAGAAGTTGAAGATTGGGAACAGATGGAGTTTGATTCAGATGAGGTGAGATTTGGTTCCTCAAATAGAAAAGAGAAGTTATTTTTGGTGACATCAGAAGAGGAAGAGGGTGTGATCGGAAGAGGAGAGAGTTGTCCGAGAAGGTGCAGTTTTATTTGATTGAAAGCAGAAAGTTGAAGAGGTTTGCCATACAGCTGTTGAAAATATACTGTTATATTGTTATTAAATTTTCAACATGCTAGTTTTTTTATTTGAAAACAATGTTCCTCTGTAAATAAAAAGAAACAGCAAAAAAGTGAAAATCGTGAAACTTATTTGTTAGTGTTCTTTTGTAAAAGAAATTCTTTTTTTTTGTGTTTGTTGCAATTATTAAAATTAAAAAATATAAATAATTGAAATTCGGACAAAAATACATTTTCTTAATTATATTATAATACAAAACATGTATGTGATATAAAACTAATCAAATCAGTTTTGCATTTTAAAATTCTATAAGAATGTGTCGTTTCAGGAAAATGAGAGAGAAGATTAAAAAAGAAGAAAATAAGAGAGATAAAAAAAGAGAGATTAAAAAAGAGAGAAAAGGATGGGGCATTTCAGGAAAATCAGAGGAGAGAGAAGCAAAAAATTAAGATTCCTCCGCCACGTCAGCTGGAGTTAACTCCGTTTGTGCCCATTTAAACGGAAGGGACTCAATTCATACAATTTTGACAATTTTGAGACTTAATGTCTACATTTTTAAAATCGGGTACTAAACAGCAAATTACCTCTGAACATGGGGACTAAGTAGGTAATTAAGCCATTTTAATAATACATATAATGACAAGACGTAATATGAAGGTAGGTTGAAAAGTAATAAAAATGTGAATGAATGTTTTTCTATATGATTTAAAAGGAATGTCTTGAATTACAACTTTTTTTGGTATTGCAAAAGTATGAAAAGAAAACACTGACAATAGAAAGAGAAATGTCTGCTGTGTTACATAAGAAAACAGAGTAGAAAGAGAAAAAAGTTAATGTTGTTTGTGTCTATGTAACAGAAGGGACGACGTTGAGACAAAATTTACTAAGTGAGGATCAATTTGACACACTTTTAAAAGGAATGACTTAATTGACAAAATTCCGCAAAACTAAGGACAAAATAAGTTATTAAACCTTAAATTTATTTAAAAAATACTATTACGTTAATATCTGGAATAAAATTGTTTTGTCACTTAATGAATATTATTTTTTAATATTTATAAATAATATTCAAATAAAAAAATATTTTTACTGTGTTTTTCATATTATGGTTTTATTTTATTTAGGTATTAAATTATGTCTTTGTATTTTTCTTCCGTATGGTGTGACCCTTCTACTTTTTGCTACAAGACTCACTGCCTCATCCCCACATTTTCGGTTGAGGAGACACTGATTTCTTTTGGTAATAAGATACTAAGTACTCTTTTAGTTTTCATTTCTTTTACATAATTTCATTAAATCTTTCCATTTTTAAAATGTTTAATTTATCATTTTTATTATTTTTTAATGTTCCCTATTGCCCTTTTATCCAAACTACCACGGATGACGTCGATGAAGATAAAGGGATAACATCAAACATAATTTTTAAAGTAAAATGATTTAATTAAATATTAAAAAGAAATCGACTGAAAAATGTAAATAAAATGAGAAATGCGATAAGTTGACTAGTAGGTTATACTTATCCATCACTAAATTTAAGAAGATGTCTTTTAAATCGAAAGAGTCACACCAAATTTTCACTCATATTAATAGCTTATGAAGTAGTATATATTCAATGTCTTAGTCGAGGAAGTATGAGTCAAAGTTTGATTTTTGGGTGCTTATGGTTATAGTTTGAATTTTAAAGTTGATTAAGGAGATCGTAGGGTGTTGTACTTCACCGTCTTCACTTTCTAATTTCTTAAACTATAAAGAAAACCAAGGTAAGATAAACTACTATTATTTTATATCCTGGTTTAAGTTTTAACACATTTGAAACTTTTATTTGAACACTGTCTTTGCATAAAGAAAAACTAAATTTCTGAAAAATGGTCTGCAAAAATTTGCTTTAAGAATCATGAACTTGGGTTCAATTTTAGTTAATTTTAACTCCTGAATTAAAATATTCGCTGTAAAAGAAGCGAAGAATCATAATCCTTTATCTAAAAAAAAAGTGTTAAATATAAATAAATTTTACATCAAATAAAAATTTATTTTTAAAGTGATACTAAAAGCAAATATCCGATTGTTTAACCCAAAAACAGATAATATTTTAACCGGATATCCAACTTCTCCAACAACATTATCCACGTTATAATATTTTGGAGCATGATATTGTAGAGCATGCGAAATAGCTGCGCGACAATGGACATTTAATGTACAAATTAACTTTTTTTCAGATAAATGTTGAAACATCAAGTACCATTCAGATAAGACCAATAATCTCTAATAAATGTGTGAGCAAATGCATCACAAGATCAAATCTATCTCGCACGTGCCGTAATAAAATGTAAAACACAATACCAACGAACATTCAACTAAACTTTCTTTCTCGTATTTCACAATAAGCTTCCCTTTCTTCTGAATCCAGGTTCTAAGTTTGCAAATTTCTATTTCTTATTATAATCTTTCCCATCAGTAAAATGTAATAATTTTAAATATTTAACATAATTAATGCCTATTAACTAATTGAAATTTATAGTAAATTAATTTAACAATAACCGTCTAGAGTAATTAAATATTTTAAAGTAATTTAGTTTATTTAAAAGGTGTTTGAGATTTTATGTCGATTACGATAAAGTAGAATCACGTCATTTTATAAATTATATTTAGGTTGGATTTAAAATTTATTTTTAATATAATATCAGAATCATAAAATACTTATTTTAATAAAATTTATTATCTTTTTAATTTATCGTGTTACTTATTATTCGAATCCTTATCAGATACTATTAATTTTTAAATTTATACTCAAGAAGATATTTGTTATTTAATGGTTTTATTATGTTATGTGTTATTGGATTATTATCAAATTATCATCAATGTTTGATTATTATAGATCAATTATAAATAGAATGAGATTAATACAAACAAGTACAAAAATTATTTCTCAATTAAATTTTATAAAATTAAGTTAAATTTAAAATATAATTTTTAAAAATTTAAATTATTATTAATTATTTTTTGGAAGAATCACGAACCATGCTATAAAAGTTTTAGAATCACTTGACTTGAAGAGCATATGAAGGGGAAGAATCGTGAGTGATAACAAAATTTGTGGTAGTGAGTACGTGACATGTGATGTTGGACCCACACATTTTGATTCCGTGTTTGTATTTGTAGGGTTACTTTACCCTCCAAATAATTTATAATTAAATGAAAGTTGAAATATTGACTTAAAACGTTGATAGTTACCCCTACGTCATAAAAAAATGTTTTAAGGTAATATTAGTTATTTTGTTTTAAATATCTTAATATATTAATACTATGTAATACAAAAACAATATATTTCATCATCAATTTATAATGTTTGTGTAACGCCAGACACAACCGCCTGTGTTGTGATTTTGATATACCCGTTTTCAACGATGATGGCCGAAAAGGCAAAAGCAAAAGCTCGTTTTCAATTTGAAATCTGAGAAGATAGATACAGCTACATTGTTACCATATCCATTTCAACACAATTAAAAAAGTGTTTTCTAATTTTGCCTTGAATTATTAAGAAAATGTTCGTCTATTTCAAATTCAAATAGTTATATAAGTCCTATTTTTGTTTACAATATATTCGTATTTTTTAATAAACAAAAAGCTATTCCTTTGGAACCGTGTTAAGCGATTCAGAATGCCGTTTTTTCTGTCCTCAATTCATCACGCGTTTCGTGAGGACGCGGTTCATCTTTGAGCCCAATTTGTCCTTTTATTTGCTCTAAAAATCTCTTATTCGACCTCATCCTTTTGTTTTATTTTCCTCGTCATGCTTAACTTCATCTTTTAATGTAATTTAACACAGAAAAATTAAAATTACAAACGTGAAATTTTTCCATAATAAATTATATGTGACGTTATAATAGTTTTCTTAAATAAATCTTGTTATTTATAATAATAATATCTTACTTTGATATTCGATATTTTGATAACTTATTTTTATATTGAAAGGGTCGTGAGTATCTTGCATTAACTCTTTTTTGTTGATTTTTTTTCTATTAGTCAATTACTATCTGTCTATTCTCATTTATTTTGCTTAGATATTAGCTATGGGAAAGTTTGACTATTGGAATTTGAATAAATATTTGGGTGTAATCTACCAATATAAATGATTTGTTAAAGATAAAAAAGAAAGGTGTGTGGTCAAACAAAAACCAAATAAATTCGCACTGTAAACGGCCAAGACTTTAGCTAATAGGATACTTGTCTTCTTTTCTCTCCCTCTCTTTTTATAAATACATGCTACAAGATTTCTCACTTCACACCAACATACAACAGAAGTGTCAGTTTATCATTACTGAACTCTTTCCTCTGTTGCTGGTTCTGCTACCGACTCCTTTTTGTAAGTACCCCAATCTCTCTTAACTATACTTCTTTTTTCTTTCCCTTTCTCATCCTTTTTATCATTCTTCACGGATCATTGATTCCTGACGCCTCTCCTCAACTGGGTTGCAAAAAAGATTCTGTCTTTTCCACGCAATCTCTCTACTTTCAAACCCTTTCGCTCGCAGCATTTCTCCTGTTTTCGAACTCTGTAAGTCTCTGTTTTGGGGTTGTGTTTTAGAACACGCAACTCTACTTCGTTTTCTTACAGTTTTCTTTTAAAGGGTAATCGGTTGGTGAAGTTTTCTCGCAATTGGGTTCTTAAAACCGGCATCTTTTTCATGTGTTTGTGCATGCAGGAAAGCACTTAACCAAAATCTGTTTCAGCTTCCTCTGTTTTGGGTTCTGTTTTTCGACGATGGCCATCAAGACAATTGAACTTTTGAAAGGATGCGGATCGCAGGAAGAGATAATGGAAGTGCTTGCTGCGGTGGCGTCGGATATGGGTGATGTGATCGATGATGTGAGCAGCTTGCAGGTGATTCCACTGAAGGGTGCAATGACCAATGAGGTTTTCCAGGTAAAATGGCCTTCTAAAAATGGTGGTGAAGTCAGAAAGGTTCTGGTTCGTTTATATGGGGAAGGTGTTGAAGTTTTCTTCGACAGGGAAGAAGAAGTGAAAACCTTTGAGTGCATTTCAAAGCATGGTCAAGGACCTCGCCTTCTTGGTCGTTTCACTTCTGGTAGAGTTGAGGAGTTTATTCATGCCAGAGTATGTTCTTATCTTCTTTCTTTTTTAATATTTCCATTTTTTTTTTAAAAAAAAGGACACGATTGTTACATGGCCTCAGAAAGTTATCCTTGCTGACGAGATGAAATAGTTGGAGTTGAATTTTGATCCATTAAAAAGTTAACTTGGGGATCCGGTAACGACATAGAAAAGAATTTGCAATTTAGTGCATTTTAGATAATTTTTATTTTTATATATATGGTTATTTAATGTTTCTTAATGATGTGTTAATGTGTAATTGGATGAATGAAAAGGAGCTTAACATTAAAAATTGTATGCAACTGGGATGACAGAGTCATCCAAATTGGCTGAGTTTCAACGCCTTTTTGGCACCGTTGTTGGCTGGTTTTCTAAATACAAAAACTCTCCTTGAAAAATAAGCCATATGTGACCCCAGCATAAAACTACCTATACGACCATAAACTTTAGTGTCTATGTATGAAACACAATATTTTAATTTGCTTCACTTATTGTAAACATTCACACTTACCAATACTTTTTTTCCATTTATTTTGCGTATTTAGTATTGATACTTTTAGATACTTCATTAACAAACATTTGTGAAACTTCTATGCATTTACGGTATTTAAATCTCATAAATAAAACTACATGAATCATATATTTGTAATGTAAAAATATTATTTCTTCATAAATCAAATAAGGATATACGTAAATGATATAAAGGAATTTATATTAATAATTATTTTTTCCGTGTAGTGTCTAATAAATAAGTTTTCAATTTGAATTCGAGGAATATATATATTCCAAGTATCGTATCTTGCTCTCTTTATATCGTGTATTCTATGCGTGTATCAGTGGTTGCAATGATTATTACAACTGGTGCTTGATCTTTAGAGAGTATATGCTGAGTTTGAAAGTAAATTAACCTTTTGATCTCCATTCTGCTTTTTTTCTGTAGTCAAAAAGCTTTTCTTTAGGCTGATGCTCTTTCTTTTTCGTATTTGGAGCAATGGAGGGTTACCAATAACATTACCTGTTTAGGATTAATAATTAAGAAGCATCTTTTAGAAATTCATTTGAATGGTGTTGAGTCAGTGGGATCTGGTGCTCTTAGCCACTGCCTTTATCATTCTTCTTACTACTTTGCAAAATGTTATTTTCTCTATTAGAAATAAAGAAACACAATAAAACATCGATGTTACTTGGAATAAGCATCTGGATTTTTGTATGCATACCTGAAAATATCAGACTTGGGATGTCATATTTCCTCTCACCCTAGCTTCGTAGTTTTGCAATTAAGCAGCTGTCAAAAAAATGTTGTCACCTTTGTTTCGGACACTTCTGGATGGATTGAAGAGTTCAACCCAAAAGGGCACTTTCATCTTCTGTTATCTCTGCATTAACAGTGTCATTCAGAGATTTAATCATGTGTGTCCACTCAAGCCTGTCTATTTATGAAGTTTTTTTTTTTCTTTTTATATCTGGGACAAATTTGTCCACATATTACGAAAATATATAAGTCAAAAAAATATTATATTACGGATAAGTGGTGTAGATTCATGATGACTTTAAAAGCAAAGTCGTGAAGACTTCAAACAACTTCTTTGTGAATTTTTGAAAAAGTGAACTCCTCATGATTTCAGTAGAAAAGAATCGAACAAGTGAAGATGATGAGTTATACATGCAGTGTTATTTATGTTCCTAGTACAATGGTTGTGTATAACATGTCTGTTTTTTTTATCTTCCTTTTTTAAGACTCTCTCAGCTGCTGACCTGCGTGACCCTGAAGTATCTGCTTTGGTAGCATCTAAGATGAGAGAGTTCCATAATCTTCACATGCCTGGTGCTAAGAAGGCTCAAATTTGGCACAGATTGAGGTAACTATTGGTCAGATCATTCTTAACATCCTTTTTCATTTCTATGTTGAATATTAAACACTGTCTCTTGTGTTATTTCCTAGGAATTGGCTTGGCCAAGCCAAGAGTCTGTGCTCTCCAAAGGATGCAAAAAATTTTGGCTTGGACAATCTGGACGAGGAAATAAACATACTGGAGAAGAAGTTATCTGAAGGATATCAAGAGATTGGCTTCTGTCACAATGATCTACAGTATGGTAACATAATGATGGAGGAGGAGACAAGATTAATCACTATAATTGTAAGTTCCGGTCATATATTCTTTGCCTCTGTTATTTCTGGTGTCCTTGAAAATTTGTGCATGATAATAAGACTTACGAACACTTTCTGTATCAACTTTGAGACATACTTTTACAGGCTCTTGTCATCTTTTATCGATCATATAGATATTATTGCAAACTTACCTTTTGTTGTTGTTTTTTTAATTTCTTTTCATTATACAGGACTATGAATATGCAAGTTATAATCCTATTGCTTATGACATAGCAAATCATTTCTGCGAAATGGTAGCTGATTACCACAGTGACACACCTCATGTTCTTGACTTCAAGAAATATCCAGGTAAAGTTCTTGTTTGTAAATTCTTTGCTGCATAAATTACATTTCCACAATGATTAATTACTGAAATCACTCTGAATTGCTGACACACCAAATTGGATATGATAAACCAGGACTAGAGGAACGTCAAAGATTTATCCGCATCTATCTGAGTTTTGAAGGTTAGTCCACTAATTTGACCACTCATGATTCTCATAAATCTGATTATAGATAACTGCTATTATTCTACCCCCTGATGATAAAAACCCTCAAAGAAATTAATAATTAGAACGTTTTATCTTTACACAGTTTAAGTAGTTATTAGCTTATTTTATTCTGAGCTCATTATCTCTTCAATGTATGTATGAATGTGATGTCTCATTCACTCTTCAACTTGTGTTGTCAAAATCATGTTATGGAAGGTGAAATTTCTAAATCTCGTAAGTCCCTCAAATTTATTTTGGCAATTCCTTGTACACAGGCAATAGACCAAGCAATGCTAAAGTGAACCAGTTAGTGAAAGCAACTGAAAACTACACTGCAGCAAACCATATATTTTGGGGTTTGTGGGGACTCATTTCGGTAAGTTTTTGTTTTATTTGAATTTGGTTACTTGTGCCTAATATGAAGGTAAAGGTATATACACACTTTTTTTAATGGATCAGCAAAGAAGGTATAGATACACTTACATAGATGTTATGCATGCACATGCAGAGTTATGTGAATAAAATAGACTTTGACTATAAGGAGTATGCAAGGCAGAGGTTTCAGCAATACTGGTTAAGGAAGGCTAATTTATTGGACTCGCCAAGCATCGTTTCCCAAGACCAAACTCTGAATGAATCTCTACCATCTTTCACGTGATTTTGCTTCAGTTTCTTACTGAAGTTTAGTCTTAGTATTATACTATATAGTATAGTATACATATGAATAACACCTAAGATATATGACATACACCATCTATATGTAAATTTATTTAATCAGCATTAATGTGTAATTTTTATGAATCCGTCACTTTTGGAGTGAGTTGAGAGATATGCAGTCTATGTATTGTTTGCAATAATGATGGCATATGCATATATACAGAACAGATGGATTTGTCTTCTCATCTTTACACATTAACTGAGGTTATTATGATCTGAAATTAGTCACTCTGACATGGAATATTTATACATGTCTCTTGCATATTCTTGAAATCTATTTTCAATAGTTCCTCTCATCTAATATGCTTACCATCCTCTCCTACTCCTTATCTTCAAACTGTAATCCATTGCTTTGAATTTCATAATTTTTAAGACACTTAAATACATTAAATTTAAATTGGTCTCATTTTAAATTATTTTTACTGTTTAAATATTTTGTCCGAATAACACAATTTAAATTTAGTGAATTTTAATTTTTAGTTTAATTTGATAATATTTTGTAAGCAATCTTGATTAATGTTATTTTTTGTTAAAACCCTTAATATTTTTTTAGTTTATATTTGTAAAATATTTGTCTTAATTTACATTAAACAATATTATTTTCAAGTAATGAAATGGTAAATTAGGTCAATTTGTCTTGTGGGACTCATGTCAGGTCAAATTGAGTAAGAGTTAAATTAATTCAACCCAAACTCAATATGAGGTCAAATTGTCTTGTTGGACTTATGGAGGGTCAAATTGAATAGAGTTAAGCTAATTCAACTCAAACTCAAGTTGAATCAAGTTAGTTAAGCCTAACTTAAATGATGTATATTTAATTCTTAATCGAGTTAAGTTAGTTCAGGTTTAAGTTTCGAGTTAATTTGGAATCAAATCAAGTCAAGTTTGATTAGGTCCAATTTGAGTATGGTTAAAATAGAATTAAGATAAATTAAGTTAGGTTTGATCAAACTAAGTTAGATATGTGTTGGGTTGAAACATCAAGTTAAAAGCATGATAAACTAAAAACATCTAGTTAAAATGTCAAATTAAACTAGATTAATCTCACGTCAAGTTAAATAGAATCTACCCAAACACATATTTAAGATGACAAAAATATCAATGTTTACGGACATCTGCGGATAAAATCATGACGAATAATTAGTATCTATAAGTATTTCAATACCTTTGCAGTATGTAGATTTCCATTACTTAAAAAATTAAAATTAAAATTTAATTTATATTTAAGTTAAATTTAGTTAAAATTAAAATTAATTTATATTTTATTATATTAAATTCAATTAAAAATAAATTTATATTTCATTTATTTTATATGTTTTTTGTAACACCCGAATAATTTTAAAGGGTATTACTGATAGTAGAGACTAAATTAATTTGATATCTCATATAAACAATCAAACTTTATTTCAATTACTCCAAGTACAATACCAAACTTACAAACTTTAAACAATATAGTCTTCACCATTGAAATTTCAACTTATAAATTTTACACAACATAATCTTCCCAATACAAATTTATTCTTTTTACAAAAATCCCTGAAAGTTTTTCCCCGCATCTCTCTCATCTCTAAGCTTTTTCAACCGCATCTGCAACATTATCTAATCACATATAACATGAGTTATATGATCATAGTACAAACAAATAAGGGTAAGCCAACCATATCATAAAATCATTAAACTTGTAACAAAAATATTAAAATCATGTATTTCTGCAATTGATAAAATATCATTATTCCGATGTCATTAATTCATCATTATCAAAATCATCTTTCTCATTTCCATAAATCTTACAAGTGTACCATGCTTACTCATGAAGCCTTATGGTCAGACCGCTCTCTGCCTGCTTCCTTAAGCCTCACTTACATACTATGTCTTACTTTCTGAAGCCTTATGGTCAGACCCCTCTCTGCCTGCTTCCA